GTACGAGGACGGGGTTGAGACTTACCAGAACGAGTCGACGGTACTGGATGCTGTGATACTGACCAAGCCTCTGAGTCGATCTTACAAATGCTTCCTGAAGTACAACAAGGATTGCCAGGTATTTCGATACAATACCACCGCCGGGGCATTGGTCGGTCGGCCAGATTTCATGACTCAAGGACCAAAGGATGGGAAGATCGCCAGCTGCAACATTCCCTTCTACGATGTGATCGACGAGCACAAAATCGGCCGCTGGAATTACACTCAATTGGTAATTAAGCGACACAACGACACCCATTACGTCACGAATTTAGAATGGACGTTCAACAAGAGGATCGTGCCAGTCGAGAAAGTGCGAGTATTTTTCACCAATCGCAATTACACCGAAGATCAAATGTTGAAGAGAGCCTTCTTCGATCTGGTCTGCTCCAATCCGAGCAACACTACGCTCAAATCGCAGGATTACGTTCTCTCGTTCTCTTGTTACGTTCCGAAAAATGTAATCGAAGCTCAAAGCTTGTACAAACCGAGAAATTCTACAGTTGCACTGACTACTGTAGAGATACTCGACTCGGGCTACGCTTTCTATCAAGTCGCGGACATTTCTTTCGTGAACGTTTTCAATCGAATTGTTCAGAGACACGGGTACGTGCCTCAACCTCCCAGCCGAGCTAAATTGTGTCAAAACAGAATAAATAAAAATTGTGGACAGGTCATGTACGAGCCGCAGAGCGTGGAAGGGTACAAAGGATTTCCGTACGCCTCGAACAGTCCGCCAGATGGGAAGATAGCCAGCGGAAACAACACGGTATTTTATAAGCTGGACGAATACGGAGAGAATCGATGGCAGAAAGTTAAATTTCCCAAAGTCGATTGCAGCAATCGTACTCATGTAACATTTAATTTATCTTGGCACTTCACCTGGCCTCATTCTACGGATGACATTCGAATTTACATAAACAATGAGAACTTCGATCCCAACCTACCACTGTCTAGACAACAGTTGGATCTGAATCCACTGTGTGTGAAACGATTTTATGGGGCACTACCGCCAAAGGATTTGGTCATCAGCTGTCCGATATCTCTGAAGAAATATAAGCAATTAAGCACGATGAAGAGTCTGTTGCTGCTCAGCGTTTGGAACATTCAGGATACTGCGTTTGCTTTTTATCAAGTCATCGACTTCCATGGATTAACAGGAGAAGAGTCATACGAACGAGTGGCGAGCAGATGTCTTTGAACCACACGTGTAGCACAGATAGTATTTATTAAAAAGTAAAATCGAATGGGAGAATGATAAAGTCGATCTATCGAGTATGAAAACATTTGGTGTTGTAATAGGAAGAGTTTCGATAAGATCTTAGAAACAAATTTATTAAAAAGTAAAATCGAATGGGAGAATGATAAAGTCGATCTATCGAGTATGAAAAAATTTGATGTTGTAATAGGAAGATTTTCGATAAGATCTTAGAAACAAAGGCGATAGTAAGAAAATTATCGTAGAGAGAAACTAATTAATTGATTGCAGTTGGTAACCATCCTGAACGATAAACTTTTGCTCTTTGATTAATCCCGAGATATCGACCAGTCGTTGCAATGCTATATTGTTATTATGTGAACCATGTGTATCATCTTTTTATAAACTGCGGTTGATATCTTAATCGTCGGATTTACTTTTTACTTCGTATGTAAAATACCATTTATTTTTGAAATAAATTAACTTGTACATTTCGACAATTGTATCTCTTACATTCATTCCTCCAGAGTCTTCAGTATTAAACTGTTACCTATCATTATCTGAAAGTCTAACGAATAACCAGATCGTTGATTGATGTTCGAAGCCCACAGATCACACTCCACCGTCACTAATCTGTTCGCTGTAGCAACGATGAATGATTTTCATTTCCGACTTTTCGACATATATTTTAATGCTCGATACTCACGCGTCAAATTTTTAAATTCCAACGCTACGATCGGAGACAAATAATTGGATTTCCCGGTGAATGGGAAGTATTGGACTGGAAACCCGGGATCGGGGATGTATTCTATTTCGCCGATGTGCTCCCTGTCCACGTTATTAGCCCCGTCGCACGACAACCAAACTTTATGAACCTGATTTTCGTGATCAAATAATTTATAGATAAATGTTAGTAATTACTTGATTTCTGTGTGGAATAAAAATTGAACCTTCGATGACTCCTTCACGATTTCTTTTAACCAGTCAGGCATCGCTTCGGGTAAATGCGAAGTCGAATTATAATATTCGGGCACCCAATCGAATCTCTAATATTTTAATTCATTAATCATTTTAAACAAAAAATTATGAAACACATTTTCATGAGGTACCTTATTGAATTTAATCAGGACACAGGGTTGCATAGGTTTCGTATAGCCGTACGGCGGTTTACTACATTTACCAAGAGTCGTTACGTCGAAGAAACAAGGCTTCTTATTATCGTCTGATTTATACTGCTCGTTGAAGCAGTTCGAATCGTAGTCTGACACACTCTTATTATATTCTAAAATTAACAAGTAGAAATAGTAAGACGTATGATAGCCACTACGTAAAGTACAGAATACCTTCTAACAATCCTGTTAGTACGTCGACGTATCTTTCTGGCTTTGTGTTATTAGTTGAATTGCTTACGAAAATAATTGGTGATACTGCTGACACGCTGCTCGGTTTAAACACTATGCCTTTAGAGAAATTTTATTTAGTTCTTATGAAAGCTAATAGATAGTCTGCAGATTTTTATGCAAAATAAAATATTTTTAATATCAATTAAAAATGGAATGTACATAGAAATTCCATAAGCTTTAGGTATGTTATATACTACATATGCATTCTCCTAAGATTTCTGTAGATACAATTTGTTTATAAATGCGCCAAATCCGCAGTCTATCACAACGAAATATTTTTTTCTTATACGTAGTTGTTCGTTTACCCGGGCTACCGAAAGTCCTACGAACAACTCGTAAATTGGTCCTCAAGGAATTCTGTACGCCAGGGTACTGAAAGAACGGTCTGTCTAAACGGGAAGCGTAATCGATGCTTATCTTCATTTGCGCTGCGAATATCGACCCCAGCACCGCGAAGAAGCACAGATAAAACAGCCCCAATTGTCCTAAATTTCAAACAAACGTTCTCATCCGATATTCATCATCAATTTGTAAATTTACTTATTCTCTTTAAGTTCAATCATCATTAATTATAGTATATAAAATAAATTTTAGATTAATAGTGTATAAAATAAAGTTTGTAGGATATCAATTTTAGAAATGAAGTACATTAAGAATATGATTCCCATTTATTGTTATTATTAAACTTTCTCAATACGGAGTGTCTTAAAATTCTCTTAAGTCTAATAAAATGCATTTGACTCTTGGTACTATATGCATTTTTGTACATAACATGTTTACATTATTGTTCTGTATTTAAATTCTCTATAAATTCACAGAACCCAGCATCCATCGAGTTAAAATTATAAAGTTACCCCATTCCGCAGCGGTTCTGTCTAAAAACGCTTTGGTATCTCTGTTCCAAATGAATCGTGTAAAATTGCGGAGAGGTCCTAAATCAGGCTGCGGCATTCTTTTCCTGTAATATTCATCGTCGTGCAGTATCACCATTTTAAAGATTTCAGTCTTCGAGTCGTTGATTAATTATCCTTCCTAGGTTAATAATTCTCCGTTAACTTCAACGATTAGATTACGATTGAATAAATTTGAACTTTGCCCCGTTGATCCTGGAATTTGAAATTCTTCATCTCAGCGGCATCTGTCGAAATGACCACGAGATCTTGCTTAGAAGTGTCCGTGACGATGGCGTTCATGCAGCTTTCATGATCGCGTCTGTTTCGAGGAGTTATTCACTTACGATTCGATTTGGTTCGATTCTAACCACGGTATGGCCGATGCAGGCCTGAGTTTAGATGACATAATTAAAAAGTCGAAATCATCAGGAATGAGAGGCAGAGGCGGAGGGTAAGAGGCGAATTTCCTCAGTAACTGATAGACAAATTTCAGTGACCGTAGTTGAAGACGTATTTATCGATTACTGTGTATAACCTTAAAGGAGCGCCAGGACTTGTGTTAGACATCGAATTCTTTCGTTCAAAACAATTCTTGAATAATTCACAAATTTCTTCGTTCAATATATCTTCTCCTTAACCCTGCTACTCCACGAACTGATTTTTAATCGAAAGTTTGCTCAACGATCGTTCACAAATCGTAATACTTCTTTTCCCTGGGATTACATACCAATTGCTGTTACGAAAATATTTCTCTTCAAACGTTGAATAAATGCTTGAACGAAGCTGGACTGTTAATTATTTTTTAATTTCGTTCCAGCGTTCGAAAGCGACTGAACAGAGGAGCTCGAGCCAACAGCTCGGTAAGAGGACGAGGAGGTACTCGTGTGGTTACCGATGCTCGGTTTAAGATCATACAAAAAAATCGGGAGAAGCTCACAGATGCCCGGGACAAGCTGGCAGAGATCGCGAAGCAGAGCGATGCTAGATTGAAGCTGGACAAGATCCGTGCGTCCCAGTTCAAAAAAGACACCCAAATACCTGGCATATCCAGAAAAACTGGTCGCAATGGCAGGCTGACGTTGTCTACGAACAAAGTTCCTCCCATGATGCCGCACACTGTCTCGCAGAATATTCCGAATCATTACATGGTGCCCAGCAGTCACATGTACGTGCCTCCTGCGAGGACAGTAGGCTACAGACCACCGCCGATGACAGAATCGCATTATATGGGAGACATGAGCATGGACTACAACGATGGTACAGAAATAATTAAATGATTGATCGGGAATAACGTGTTGACCATCGTCTATAATCAATCTTCTGTTATTTGTAGATTATCCGATGGAAACGGCGCCTCTGAGAAGAACTGTGAGCAACGATTACGCTCCCACGCCACCGCCTCCACCGCCTGTGTTCAGTATTAAACCAACTACATACAGTTGGGTAAAACCAGCTAGTAATAATTTAACGAGAATCGTTTCATCCCACAAACCAGAGATGGACAGAGAACGCGAGAGAATGTTGGATTACAAAGTCATAGCACGTTCTTCGATGGTAAACGTTGTTCAACATAATTTACTTGTCAATCTCTCTCTAGTTCTTCCTTTATTAATGATTAATATTTACAGGCCAAGCCTATTTCCCCTCCGTACAAAGAAGATTGGAACTTCAGCACGAAATCACGGTACGAGACCATTTAAATCACACGGTGTCCAATTTATCGTATTACTATTTGATTCATTTGACACTTCGTAGGACCATACTGGCAGAAGACCCGATAGAGACGAAATACTACGATCCAAGGGTTCACAGAGACGTGGGCGTAAAGTCTCGATTAGACTCGATGAATACAAATAAATCGCGGACGATGAGCACCCTGCCGCGACCGAAAACAAGCTCGAGTTCGAGCTCTCCGCAGTCGTCTGGCTATCGAATCGTCGTGTCCAACCTGCAAGCGAACGTCACTCAAGAAGACATCAAGGTATCCAATCCATCGCGGAACAATCAAACGTATCTCTGTAAACGTTCTCTCTCTCACACGTTCGATTAAAATGTTATTTATCTTCGTTCAGGAATTGTTCGAAGACGTAGGAGAACTGTTAGTATCTCGATTGGTGCGGCCTGGTACCGCAGAGGTGATTTACAAAACATTGAAAGATGCCACGAAGGCCGTTGAGACGTATCATAATAGACAGTTGGACGGCCATCCAATGAAGTGTTTACTGGTGAATCCGCGGCCGAAGAATAATCCAACCGGACCAGCTGTCAGGTCTCTTACAGAGTAAGCGGTCGAACTGTTCGACCTTAAGAAAAAAGAGAAGTGTAATTATTTACGCTCTGGCTAAAAATATTCTTGTGGTTTTCAGATCGAGGAGAAGCGTAAGTTCGAGTTACGTACAGCCGAGCTTAGGAACAGTGCATCGCGCCTTGTTCGATGATTCTTAATCGATTTGTTCGATTTTTAATATAAAGAGTATCACATATAATAAAAACAGCGAGTTTTATTCCAAGTATCCAAACGAGTAGCAACTGACAAGGAGTAGGCCGACCGAGGAGAAAGCTGGAAACGCGTGCAGGCGATAAATAAAATTTGTGTCGGAAGACATATTTTACGCTCGTAGCTTGCACAGAAATCATATTAGCGAAACGGATAAAATTGTAAATTGTGATGTGCAAACGAAAGGAGAGAATACGTAAGAATGCTCGTTGTACATTTAATATATAGCCAAATAAAAGGAACGAGCACACTAGGAATTTTTAATGCGCCGCTGTTGATTGTGACTCGATAATTGAACGAGTACTCAGCCTTTCTTAATGTATCGTTCGATAATTAAATAAATAAACTGCATGATTCTTTTTACAAAACACGAATAAGAGGAAATAAGTAAGGATTATAAAGAGACAGACGAATGGTCGAACGTTTGGCACGATAGAAATAAATCTTAGGTGATCATCAAATGAAATTGCTATAATTAAAAACGATATATAAGAATGGACCATCCTACTTCCCTTCCTATTGTAAGATTTCATTAATTTCTAAAAGCTTAAAAAAATAATGTATTTCGAACAATTTCGCCCGATTAATAAAAGAGCACATTTTTCTTTCATGTATCTATTCTATACATATACTTAAACAATGCTGGCATGTTGAATTTGTTATTATCGATTCC